TTCTTTAGTAAACGGTAACTAACATAGGCTGCACTTTAGGTGGCACATCCATGGGTGCAGTGTAACCTAGTGTTTTATTTAGTTAAAGGTAATTAACATAGGCTGCACTTTAGGTGGCACACCCATAGGTGCAGTGTAACCCAGTGTTTTCTTTAGTAAACGGTAACTAACATAGGCTGCACTTTAGGTGGCGCACCCATGGGTGCAGTATAACCTAATGTTTTATTTAGTTAAAGGTAATTAACATAGGCTGCACGTTAGGTGGCATACCCATGGGTGCAGTGTAGCCCAGTGTTGTATTTAGTAAAGGTAACTTCCTTTGGCTGCACTTTAGGTGGCACACCCATGGGTGCTGTGTAACCCAGTGTCTTATTTAGTTAAAGGTAATTAACATAGGCTGCACTTTAGGTGGCACATCCATGGGTGTAGTGTAACCTAGTGTTGCTAATGAGTGACTGTAACCCAGTTCAGTTTTTTCTAGAAAGTGCTGTCCTTTAGGTAGCATAAAGACATGCAGACATTCTCTTTAAGACAATGAAATTGGTGTGAGGGAACATTTCTTGAAGTAGTATGGTAGCACAATGTTATGTAATTAATGCATTTTTCCAAATGTTTAGTACTTTTCAGGAGCTTTAAGCAAGGGCACTTTTGTAAGAGATTTTGGTACACATACTGAGATAATTGATTTGGAAGGCTCAGGTTTGTAGAACAACAGTAGTAATAACACTTTGTTTTTTCTTTGGTTACAAGTTCTGATTTTTTCTCACTGGCTAAAGAAGGTTTACCATACTATAATATGACTTAATTGAGTGTTTTATGCTGAAATATAAAAATTTTGGAAAATGAGTTTGGAAAATATTAAAATAATTAAACTTATTGCTAATGATGAGCTTAGGAGCTGGTACCTTAAAGGTTAGTGTGAACCCACTGACCAGCTTTGCTCCAGTTTAACTTTGCCTAAATGATATTTAGCCACATCAAAAGGAGCTTTTTGTTTTTAATTCCTCAAAAATATTTACCCAAGGAAAACAAAATGTTTACTTGCAACAGTTATTTGAATGATGTGATAACATATAGGGCCTCTCATTACAGTCTTTCTCAGGTCTTATTTCAGGTTTTGGCTATTTTGCAGATATTAAAGCTGACATGGAGCCTCGCCTTGTTCAGTGGCAAGGCAAGTTGGATGGGCTACATGTCTTTTTCAAGAAGTTGTGCAAGTCACGCATAAAGTCACTATTCACTATTCACTATTGTTTTTCTTGCGTTAAATCTGCTTTTTTCGATTCGATTGCACCTTGACTATTTTTGTACCGCTACTCCTCTTGCGTTATATTTATTTAAATGAGCAATTCTTAAAAGACAGAAAATGTCCTTCTTTCAATAACGTGGCGGAATAAAACAATTACACAAAGATGTTACTATGATACTTTTTGGTACGATATATTTTATTTTTGACCAGCACTGTTATGCCTAATTTTGTCCATAAACGGACAAAATTGCTCCGATTTTGAGACGACATTACAGCTTTTTGGCAGCGATCGCCAAGAAACTGAATGTGCCACGGAATTACACCCAATTAAGAAATATATTTTCTCCCTTCCAGCAGTCATTAGAAAGCCGTTTTGTCCCCTCAAAATCGGATGTAGTTCACACGTTAAGGGTAATAAACTGATAAAAAATGATTTACAATTATCCTGTTGTCAATAGGTTCTTATTCACGTAAGCTGGGTCATAAACTATTTCTTGCGGCAGAATCATGGGGAAGAAGTTGTCCTTCATTTTAAAATCGCTGAAATTGTAGTAACTAAACCTTGAATGAAACTATTGTAGGAAGATTCATTACTTGACGAGGGAATTCCGCATTTAATTGCACGCGAAAAGCGATACGCGAAGCGATGAGTGCGATATCGGTTTTTAAGTGCAATTTAACGCGGAATTCACGAGCCAAGTAATGGATTTTCCTTGAATCACATATTTGAATAAAAACAAAATAAAGAAAACAGCATTACTTATATTTGTTATGTATACGTGGATGCGAAACAATATCACTTAGCCCCGCTAAACAACTCGCCTCGTCAACCAATCAGAAGGCGAGATTTTATGCAATGATGCGATTCTATCTGATATTAGGTCTGCTGACTTGGAAAATACTACACCTAAAATTTAACATCAGCAATCTTACGAGAGAAAGCATAAAGGCTAGGTCTCTCTGACGGCTTATCTCTGGTTGACATTTTAACCAATTCTCGGACCCTTTCATAAAAACCCAACAAAGACGATATCGCCTTAAGCATTCTTCCCAATGAAAAAATGTCACTGGCAACGCCATAGAGTCGTTCACTAACAACCTCAGGGGCTAAATAACTTTTCCCTTTGCATTTCATAACGGTGCCGTTTCTGCGGTACAACGTAACAGATGAAACCTTAAGGCTCTTTCCAAAGTCAATAAGAACTGGGCTGAATTCCCCAGAGGCTGAGGGCCGTTCTAGTACGGGCGACCCTAAAAGCCGGAACGGTGGAATGGTGGAATGGCGGAAAATGACCCCAAATCCTAAAGCACGGAACGGCGGAAAGTGACCCCAAATCCTAAAGCACGGAACGGCGGAAAATGACCCCAAATCCTAAAGCACGGAACGGCGGAAAATGACCCCAAATCCTAAAGCACGGAACGGCGGAAAATGACCCCAAATCCTAAAGCACGGAACGGCGGAAAATGACCCCAAATCCTAAAACACGGAACGGATGCCAGGGCATGTTGCACAAATTTCGTACAAAGACACCAAGCGCTTAGCTCATTTATCCTCACGACGATAACGCGCGTGACTAAAATTAAGTGTCACTAATTTTTTTTCTTTTACTGAGTGGTATAAATGATAATGAACCATTATGCATGAAAGATAGCTGCGTTTTCGCGTTGTAAACCTGTTTAGCTACCTTTTGTTATGCAAAATTTGCCATGAGTTTGTCGCGGCATAAAAAGTCGCACAGCATGTGGAAACCAACTCGACATACCACACTACAATAAACAATTATAACTTTGATACGTTTCCTGGTCACGTCTGCATTGATTTATTGAAACAATAATATCTCATATGCTTGTAAATGTGAGAACATCACAGGAACGTTTTCAGGCTTCTCAAAATATGACAACGTTCAGCCCAAGCTCCAAACTTAGACTAGCGTAAGAAAGTTAGCAGAAGGAAGCCGTCAAGAAGAATTTGAAGAAGGGAGCGAAGTCGAAAAACAAATATTCAAGCATCATTGCACACGGTTCCATGCACACAGCTTGAAACCTAACGATATGTTCACTTTTATTCCCATGGAGTATTTTTGCCTCTTTGAGGAAAAGACGCTTTTCCTTCTCGTCCTCACCTTACAGTTTTTTGATAACGACCTTCTCAGAATTGTTTCTCGCCACAAAAACCAAACCATAGGATCCTCGACCGATAGCCTCTTCTTTGTCTCGCAACTGCTTCCACTCGAATAATGGTAAACCATGACAATCCAAAGATCCGTCTGAATTACACTTCCCTTTCAGAAAGGGAAATTTAAACGCCATAGAGTTGACGATTTGCAATTTGTTGAGGAACAGAAGAAATCCGCTGAACGAATTGGTGAAATAGCCTCTTTTTTGTTTAGAAAGTTTATTTCTTCAGCTGATATGTAAGCCGTAAATTTCACAGTAGGATGGTGGTGTTTTGGACACCAGGTCGCGAAGAAATTCTTCAAATTCTTCTTGACGGCTTCCTTCTTCTAACTTTCTTTTGTCTTTTCACGCCATGAGAAATTCCCACGCGCGTGACACCCTGCAAACCTCTCTTCAACTAGTGTTACTCAAGTCCCAAAACTTATTCGTGGATGAAAAAACGCTCGTATTGAAGGGCTCGTAACGAGGGCTTGCTCTCACGCTAGTCTAAGTTTGGAGCTGGGGCTGAACGTTGTCATATTTTGAGAAGCCTGAAAACGTTCCTGTGATGTTCTCACATTTACAAGCATATGAGACGTTATTGTTTCAATAAATCAATACAGACGTGACCAGGAAACGTATCAAAGTTACAATTGTTTATTATAATGTGGTATGTCGAGTTTGGTTTCATGGCAAATTTTGCTTAACAAAAGGTAACTAAACAGGTTTACAACGCGAAAACGCAGCTATCTTTCATGCATAATGGTTCATTATTATTTATTCCACTCAGTAAAAGAAAAAATTAATAACACTTAATTTTAGTCACGCGCGTTATCGTCGTGGGGATAAATGAGCCAAGCGCTTGGTGTCTTTGTACAAAATTTGTGCAACATGCCCTGACATCCGTTCCGTGTTTTAGGATTTGGGGTCATTTTCCGCCGTTCGATGTTTTAGGATCTGAGGTCATTTTTCGCCGTTCCGTGTTTTAGGATTTGGGGTCATTTTCCGCCGTTCCATGTTTTAGGATTTGGGGTCATTTTCCGCCATTCCGCCATTCCGCCATTCCGCCGTTCCGGCGTTCCGGCTTTTAGGGTCGCCCTTCTAGTACAACATTATTTCTTTGATGTCGTTATGAAGGTATCCTTTAGAGTGCACGTGGTCTAAAACACTGCATATCTTTTTAAATATAGAAATACAGTTTGCTTTAGTAACTGCGTTGTTATCGGCCGCTTGATGGAGAGTTACACTTTCATGCTGAACACCATGAAATTGAGTCACAAGGCATAATGGTGAGGCCTTTGTAACAACACCAAAAATCATGGGTAGATGTGGATGGTCCCCCAAAGCAGAAACGACCTTTGCTTCGTGGAGCAAATCTCTCCTTGCTCGTTCTTCATCCTCTGACGTTTCGTTGTGAGTCATTTGCTTGACAATAACGTCGAAGCCTCGATAGCGCCCGAGAAAACACTGTCCAAAGCTTCCACTCCCAACTGGATTTTTAGACAAGTATTCAATGTTTTCTGGCCTGAGTTCTTTGGGTTCAAATCTGGATCCATTGCTCGCTGTGGTTTTTTTTCCAATTAAAAAGGTTTGATGACGTTTCCCACGAGGTTTCTGCGAGACAACTGCGTCGGCACCAACAGCCATTTGAATCATCTTAGCAGCTCTTGAACAACCACCCAAGGCCTCTTTCATCTCTTCACTGCCTGGTTTAAGCGCGAGGATATGGGGTTTCTTGACATTTTGTGGCTCAAAATGTTGGTCCGAAGGAGGCAGTTTCGTTTCCTTAGCCTCAGAAGTACAAGGCACCAACTCATTCGCTTCGCGGTTGAGTGATTGTAGTTCAACATTTTTATTCGTTGAATTCGGCATATGCTTCCCTTGTTTCCTCTTTCTCCATTCTTTTCTCTGTCTGTTTCTTTCTTCTGGAGTGTTTTTTCGTGATTTAATAGCTCGCTCTTTTCGTTCTTCTTCATCTTCAAATTCCTTCACAAATTCCGCCATCATTATGTAGCTAATTGATCTATTTCCGAAACACAAATGAGCTCGTGATCGGTGTAAAAGTATAAAACAAAGGCTTGTTGATGTGCAGGAAATTCAATGCTCGTTTTAATGAACTTGATGATATGTGAAAGCCCGAGTTGCTCTTCAATCGTTTCTGGTTTGCTTTCATTACGCGACATTCTTCTGTCAGAAGAGTGTCGGGAAAAACACCTCGCAAGGATCGTACGTGACAACACCCTCCACGCCTCGACTAACGCTAAAAAAGCTCCATACAATTCCTTATAATTTTATTATAAGGAATTGTATGGAGCTCTCCGGGATACTTACAGTGCAAGCCCTGTGTGTCTTCTCATGAGAGGTCATCAACAAAGAGAAGCGAACTACAAAGGATCCGCGAAAGAAGAGGAGGTAAGTCGTGTCTTATCTGGGTTTTCTCTTACGCTAAGACCCAGAAAAAAATTCAAACTTTTTTTTTACCAATCGTCGTTTGATACTAGCTTCAGTTTTTAATTCAACTGATCACGTTTCGGTTAAACATTGACTCTGGCATTCGTCGCCTAAAAACTCTTACGCCGGTTCATCGCTCGAATAATTTTGCATAGTGTTCGTATTCTTCAAGCTATTTCTTGTCCTTTCGTTTGAAAGTTTAATACAGTCGTGATGTTATGGGAAAAGAAGTTACCTTACGCATTTTTTTTTGCCTAGAAAGTTTTCAAATGATGTCGAACAGCCACCATCTCTTCAGTTAGTTATCGCAGGATTTACTCTATTCATTTGAAAAATTTGCGCTTTGCCGAAGATGTGTTGTTTTACCATAAGAACGAAGTAATAGCCTTTCCCAAAATTAAAATAAAATGGGACTGAGTCAGCGATGTTCATGTTTACGCGGTAATTTGATTTTGACGATATAGTCATGTGAGAACCCGTCAAACATCTGAGAATCAAATTACGGACCGCAAATGAGTGGTGCAAACAAACCCACGGGTAGAATGGAGATGGTTCTACAACGGGATGAGTGAGTTTAATTGTTTGGTTGTCGTACTTTTCAGCGCTATGTTTTCATGCTTTCTACTCGATTCGTTCGAACTTCAGGAAATGGTTTGTGTCACAAAACATGGAGCCACTTTCTCTTAGCTGAACATCTCGAGGTGTTATGATGAACATGCTTGCGATACGATATATTTTTCCCTATGCTGGAAACTGAAGAATTAATCTCTAAAATTGGTAGTCATCACATTTTGCAAGAAGCGTCCGAGCTGTGATCGTGCAATTAAACGGGGTTCTGGCAATTTGACCTCACAAGCGCGCTGGTAAGCACATGGTTCGCGTAAATAATTGTTGTTTACAGTTTTCGAATACAAGAGCAGTTTTTTTGCACTCGGTTAACATATGTAGGTAATTACTTAAAAAAACCCATTATAGCTGTATTCAGAATCATAGACATGTAGGCAAGATACTTCTGCTTTGTTTTATTGTAAGGGGTTCCTTTTTATGTAACATGTCCATCCTTTAATTTCCTTCTTAACCTGCTTGCAAATAATTGAATTTTATGTTTGAATTCAAGATAAAACAGAAGTCTTGCAGAGTTCTCATTCCAGATGGAATTCAGGTGAGAACATCAGTAAACAAGTTAAAATCATATGCTTCTACTGAATCTTTAATTTTATTGCCCTGGTTTTTTTCAGAAACCCTATTTTATATCTCTGTGTGACAGCTACTGATTAAAACCTCAGTGAATAGATATGCTATATTTTAATAGTTTTAAATTCCATCTTTATGTTTTTGGCATTTACTATTTAAAATTCATAAATGGCATTCCCTTTTCATCCTTGTAAAGAGATATTGCACATTTCTTTAACTAAAATATGAATTATGAAGTCAACTTATATAATTTCAATGAGTTTGAAACTTCATTCTACATAAGAATACTTTACTGGAGTATAATGTTATATTTATTTGCTGTCTTTCTGTTACAAATAATTACCATATGTGTCTTAACCCTTTAACTCCCAAAATTTCATGAGTAATCCTCCTTACTGTCTGCCATACAATTTATGTGATGTTAAATTTGAGAATTTGGAATTGGATCAACTAATAATCCTCAAATTGATATTTGTCTTAATTCTAGTTACTTGTCTGCTTTATATCATACTAATAGTGTAAGGAGAAATTCTGTCTAGGTTACCAGTGGGACTTAACCCTTTAACTCCCAAGATCTCATTAGTAATTCTCCTTACTATCTCCTATACAGTTCTTGTGATGTTAGTTTGGAGGATTTAGTATTGGATCATCTTATAATCCCTTAACTGATATTTTTCTTTATTCTCATAACTTGTCTGCTTGATATTGTTTTGATATTGTAAGGAGAAATTTTTTCTTGGTCACTTATGGGAGTTAAAGGATTAAAATGGGGGATTTCAACATATTGTAATGATTGAAATATTCTTATGCTTTCAAATGTACTAATACCAAAAAAGTGTGATGAGAATCTGATAATATGAAACACTTGCAATGGAAAAACCTGTTGCTGGTAGCTTATGTCTTCAATGCTTAAATTTTCATGGGAAATGCTTTTCTTTGAAAGTGGGGATACAGAAGTTTCTAAAGCTGATAGAATTAAGCTGTTTTGCAAGTAATAAAAGGCAAATTGCAATCATACCTTAATGCTTGACATGTTTCACTCATACATGTTGGTTGTGTGTACCTACCATTGTAGAGGTGTCTTTAAAAAGGTTTTTTTTTGCACAAGGCAACCTCCATGGTGGAAGAGTAGAAGACCACAGAATGATTTGTACTTGGCATTTGTACTTAATGCAATCTTATATTCAAGCAGCACTCTACATATATATAACTGATTACATGATGTCTTTAACCCTTTACACCCCAATATCAGAATGCATATTCTCCAAACTGTTCTCTATATATTTCCTTATGTGCTAGCAAGGAGAATTTGTTTAACAATCAAGAAGTTCTTCAGTTGATTATCATTTCCTTTATTCTCATGACCTTAATGTGTGACTCAGGAGTGATAATAAATGGAGAAATTAGATGCTAGTCACTCTCAGGGATTAAAGTGTTATTAGCTGTACGCATTTTCGTGTATATGCTCCTCGCATTTGTTTGCAACAATAGCTAAGATTGTAAGGAAAGCAAACAGACAAGTGAACAGAAGACAGTGTATTCAGTGTAACGTAGGGCTGGAAAATAAACCAATAAGAGCTCCGCTTTTAGACTTGGCACAGATGTTAAAATGCGTGATACCCGAAAAGTGATATTGTCCCAGTTCAAACACTTGATAACTTCTTCGAATCGTCCTGTTGATCGAGCCCCGGCAAGCAAAGCCGCGCAACGAGTGCAAGAGAGGTCATCGAGGTCGCGGGTTCTAATCACGCTATAGGAGTTATTCTCAATCTGGCTTGGGGGCCGAATAACTTCTCCTCGAGTATGATTTGAAGCTGGCGGATAAGGAGTAACTCTCAAACTGGCTTGGGGGCCGAGTTACTCCTCCCTGCGAAATCTGCATTTTGCTTTTGCTGTCTTTTCTATTTTTCCCGACAATATCATCATTTTTATCCTTTTTTTTTTTACCTGATTCTTTTTTTTTTCTAAGAAATTATCATATGGATGCACTGTGTTTTTTTTATATGGTTTTGGTACTTGTCAGTTTTTTTTTTTTTTTGCGAAGAAAGTTGGCCTCAACATCAGCAACGGGAAGACCGAAATTATAGACTAAATAATGGCGCTGAATACTATCAACACACGCCCAATCCAATTGATAATGAAGAACTTCCTTACACAGATGGATTTACCTATCTCGGCAGCATCATCAGTGGAGATGGACGAACTGAACTGGACATCCACAGCCGTTTCAACAAGACCAGAAACTCACTCAACACGATGAATAAGGTATGGCGCTCCTCCAATTACAGCACTCGTACTAAGCTGAAACTCTATCACAGCTGCGTCCTAAAAAATCGGAGAAGTATTTATCACAACTCTCCACATTTCACACCAGGAGCGTTCGGCGTATGCTACGCATCTTCTGGCCTAATTTAATCTCGAAGGAAGATTTCTCTGAACGCTGTGGAACTGAACCAATGGCTACCATCCTGATGACGAGACGCCGTAGGTGGATTGTACACGTCACCCGCCGAGAGACCTCTATCGCAAAAACCGCTCTACACTGGATACCTGAAGGGAAATGCAAGAGGCACAACCCCAAGAACACCTGGCGGCGGACGGTAGAGAAATCTGAATTTTGCTTTCGCTTTCTTTTCCTTTTTTTTTCTTTAATTACAATTTTTATCTTCTTTTTCCTCTATGTATTTTGTTTCTGTGAAATTACCTTATCGTTGCATTGTATTTTTTCCTTGTATACGGTCTTGGTACTTTTCAGTTCCTTTTCTCTTCCTTTTCTATCCTTTCTTTTACAAGTCTTAGTGCTTTCTACTTTTACCCGTTCTTATCATCATTTTTATCTTTTTTCTTTTCTTTTTTTTTTTGTTTCTGAGCAGTTATCTTTTTGGGCCTCTTTGTTTATTCGTGTTTTTTTTTCTTCTTTCCTATTGTTGTAATTTTTTCGTTTATCCACTCCTAGTAAGGTCTTAAGTCATCATGAAGCGACTATCACTGGCGATGGACCTTAAACTTCGCGAGAAACAGAGAGGTTTCAGGAGAGGAAGGATTATATAGATCATATTTTCACGCTGAGAAGTATTATAGAACAGAGCACCGAATGGCAGCAAACTCTCTATGTGAACTTTTTAGATTTCGCCAAGGCTTTTGACAGCGTGCAGCGGCACAGCCTCTGGAAGATATTTGGAACGTATGGAATCCTCTTCCACCTTATTGAGATCACTCACTGAACATGATGAATAAGGTATGGCGTTGCGCTACTTAAAGTGCTCGTACTAAACTGAAACTCTATCACAGCTGCGTCCTGACAACTCTCCTGTATGGTTTAGAATGTTGGCGCTTGACGGAGAAGGATTTATCACAATTGTTCAAATTTCACAC